CTCTCCTCATATAGGATCCGTTCCAAACCCCTAATCATTTTAGTTGCCCTTTTCTGAACTTTTTCTAGTGCCAGTATATCTTTTTTGAGATGAGGAGACCACATCTGTACGCAGTATTCGAGATGTGGGCGTACCATTGATTTATATAAGGGCAATAATATATTCTCAGTCTTATCCCCTTTTTAATGATTCCTAACATCCTGTTTGCTTTTTTGACCGCTTCTGCACACTGCGTGGACATCTTCAGAGAACTATCCACGATGACTCCAAGATCTTTTTCCTGACTTGTTGTAGCTAAATTAGCCCCCATCATATTGTATGTATAGTTGGGAAATTAATGATAATCAATTCACAGATAGGCAAAGTAAGAAAAGTGCTTCTTGAACTTTTATTAGGTTTTGGTATAAGGTTATTTACTATGTATATTTTGACATGTGATGTTGACAATTTGAGGTTTAATGGCTATAAAGCTTTAACTATTTGAATCTCAACATCTATTGTCATTAAATAATTCTCTGAGCCTGCCATAACTTCCCACAAATGTGAAAATTTAAATAGATAAAAAGAGAAAAAATATTTTAAAATAAATATTGTTGGAATATCTGCCAAGCCTATATATTGGTAATGTATCTCTTTAATTTCCAGAAATAAAACTAAGTTAGTGTGGTTGGCAAAACTGAGGAGCTGGGGAAGAAAACAATATTCTGAGCCAATGGGAGCTGCGCTTTGATCATATAAGTGCTATATAATGCCAAATACTCTGAAAAATCAGGTCCTAGATATCTCAAATTGGGCTCCCAAAATCATTGGAAACTTTAATCTCGGTCCCTCAGCTCCTGATCTGTTTTATGGGGATTATATCCTTCAACTCACAGGAGTGTTGTGCAAATAAAATGAATGTTTGTGAAGTTATGAATGATTGGATACTATAGTGGTGAGTACCATAGAAAAGTCTATGAAGAAACTAATAATTCTGTCTTCGGGGCAGGGTTTGAGTACCATGAAGTAAAAATGCCTTGAGCCACACATTAACGTTTTGATTTTTCATGGTTGTTCAAGTAGTTTATTAATGAGCACCATCCATCCTATGCCCTGAATGAGGCAGGAGTCTTGTGAGGAAAAATACAATGTGATCATGTAATTAAAGACTATATCATAATGCATATGCACAAGCAGGCCAAATTGAAATTGCACAGGTAACCTTAATTCTGCTGTTTCCTAATTTTTGAGTCCTTGACTTTGCGACCTTAATACTTTTTTGCATGGCTTCCTAAATTTTAATAAAGCAAACTGAAAAAAAACATAGGAGCTATCATGTGGCATCAGATTGACACCCATAGGGTTCATCAGAAGGGTTGGAATCCATCACACAGACCTCTGCCACTTGAGTGAGCAGAGTATCTGATGGAGGATGACTATTTACTACTGCTATGTGGACTAGCAGTACAGGGGGTTGGGTACTTTGCCAGTGATTTTTCACAGATATTTGCTGACAGAAGAGAAATGGTGAGATTTGGGCACATTGTGTTTCATTCCCAGCTCTGGAGGTGCATGTAGCTTTTGCCCATTTTCCCTCAAGCTTGATCCCTCTTTCTCCATCGCCTCAAGCCCGTTCAAGCCCTCACTTCCGGACCCCTGACTCCTTGTCCTACTCTCTACTCCTTAGGCTTCTCATCCCAGTCTGTTTCCTTGCCAAGCCAGTCCTGTTTCCCCCTTCCAGCTTTTTATCTAATCTGTCTGTTTTCTCTACCCCCAGCTCCTTATCCCAGTTTCTTTGCCCTACTGGTCCCTGTTCTCCCCCGTGCCCCAGATTCTTGCCAGATCTGTCTCCCTTTCTCCTGTCCCCATTCCTCCACATTGGTGTTCAGTTCTATTTTCCTTGCCCAGCCAATCCCACTGTCCCCTCTCCCAGCTTCTTGTGTGATTTCTATGTTCTTCCATCACCAGTTCCTAGTCCCAGTCCCTCCATGCCCACTGGCTCTGAGTCTGGGTAGTTGAAGTCCCCCATCACCACCAAGTGCTGTGCTGCCCGCTTCTTGTTTACAGTGTCACCTGAAAGTGAAAACAGATGTTTGCATGGCACAGTTGTAGCTGGCGTTGCAAGATATTTACATGCCAGATGCGCTAAAGATTCATATGTCCCTTCATCTTCAACCACCATTCCAGGGGACATGCATCCATGCTTATG